CGCCTCGGCCTCCCAAAGTGCTGGGATTACAGGCTTGAGCCACCGCGCCCGGCCCTGGTTTCACATTTAAATTTAAATCTCCAGCCTTGCTCCAGGTGCAGTGGCTCATGTCTATAATCCAAGCACTTTGAGAAGCTGAGGCAGGAGGATCGCTTGAGCCCAGGAGTTTGAGACCAGCCTGGGCGACATGAGACCCTATCTCTAGAAAAAATATTAAAAGTAATAATTAAAAAAAAAAACAAAACCCTCCAGCCTCATAGGCTACTATTTTCTGAAGCAGGTTCCTGTAATTCCTCAATATCCCATCCACATTCTTGCCTCTATGCCTTTGCTCAAGCTACATCTCTCTTCGCAGTGCCTTCTGCCTCCTTTCCACTGATCAGAACTTTATTCCTCCTTGAACACCTACCTCAAGTGTATTTTCTCTTCCAAAACCTTCCCTTATTCCCTCAGCCTGTGCTCCCATAATACCTTGATTTAATTTTGCTCTGTGTTACAGTAATTCACGTACGTGCCTTTCCAGCTAGAGCAGAAACTTTTCGAAGGCAGGGACTTTGTCATAATTATTTTGTGTTTTCAGCACCTCGTACATGACCAGGAATGTGGCACTTGATGTATATTTGTTTTAGGTGACCTGTTCATCTCATTGTTTTTTTGACCTCATTGGTGTCCTCTCCAGTTTCATAACTGAGTTTCTCCAGCTGAGCAAACATTCTGAAGCTCAATTTATCACTGAGGCTGAGATCAGAGGAAGAATAAGTAAACTACCCAAGGCACAGGTTCACCACCCTGACAGCACAATGAATCACTTAGAGACCTTTTAAAAGATGTAGTTGTTCCCAGCACTTTGGGAGGCCAAGGTGGGTGGATCATGAGATCAGGAGTTCGAGACCAGTCTGGCCAACATAGTGAAACCCCATCTCTACTAAAAATACAAAAAGTTAGCCAGACATGGTGGCATGTGTCTATAATCCCAGCTATTCAGGAAGCTGAGGCAGATGGATCACTTGAACCCGGGAGGTGGAGGTTGCAGTAAGCCGAGATTATGCCACTGTACTCCAGTCTGGGCAACAGTGTGTGAGACTCTATCTCAAAAAAAAAAAATCATATAGTTGCCTGGACCCCATCTTCAGAGACCTTGGCTTATTTGTCCTAGGGTAAAAAACCAAGTGTCAATATATTTTCTGTAAGTAATTCTAAAGTACAGTCAGTTTTGGGAACTACAAACCTGAAGGGTAGATAGGAAATTGTCACTGGGCCTCATATGTAAGTTAGAATAATTTCTAATTTGCTTTTCTCAAAAAGTAATGCTTTTCACAGACAAACATAGCTAAAAGAATGGAGGCCACACAGCCTGGATGAAGTTGACCTTTTTTCCAGAGAAATCTTTGCCATCAGAAGCTTGAGTCATGCTATAGGAGGAATCACACAATTGGCATGATACATACCTTTGAGTTCCTCCTTAGCATGTCTAGAGAATCCCAGTGCCCATCATAGACACCTTTAACATGAAATTACAGGAAGCCATAAAGTGAACTGAAATCAAAACGCCAAGCACCAAATCATCAAATGAGTAATGAAAGCTTGGAAGTTCCCTGGTCCCTTGAGGGTCTCCACATGGATGTCCCCTGTGACTTGCAGTCAGTGGAATGGGAGGACAGGGCCAGATACCGTGAGGAGGACTCCATGTTGCACAACTCCAAGGCCATGTGCACAGTATGGGGCGTGTGAAGAGCGACCCCTGGAGTTGTGTAATGCTGCATCTTAGCACAGAGACTTTCCAGTCCTCAGACCCAAAAGATTTCTGGTGGTGGCTTCCACTTTGCTTCTGTTCTCCAGCCTTCTTCTGGTTTGGAGCTGTCACTCAGAACCAAGGTGAGGGAGGAAGAGTCTTTTCATCAAAACCTTCTGCTGGAGTCTTTTCCTGCCTGAGGATGTCTTCACCAGAAATTCCCCTAACTGGCAGCTCTTGTCAACACATTCTGGATCCACCGATGGACTCCAGCTAGACTTGGTTCTTAAATCAGTCGCTGTAGCAGAGGTGCAGAAAGGATTTAAGTTCCTTTTCATCACCACTACTCCTCTTCTCTTTCCCCATTTGTCAAAGTGTCCATAGAGAAGGAGTACATACTTTATTTTCAGATGAGGGTCATTTCTGGGTGTGTGTGTGTGTATGTGTGTGTGTGTGTGAGAGAGAGAGAGAGAGAGAATTTAACAGTCTAAGGGCAAAGAAGTAAAATGAAGCAGTATTATCTATTTAAAAATGATGGCAGCAACTTCCAGAGAGTAGGAACCTTAGAAATGTTAGTTTCTATTGTTCTTGGTAGATGATAAAATGAATGCAGTGATGGTGATGAAATCTACTCAGTAGCTTTTACTTTTTATAGTTTTAGAGAGAGTGGAGGAAGCAGCAGGGGCCTCATGGTAAGGAGAGAATTCTTTTTTTTCCAAATGAAGTTGTAAAATGAAAAATGTAAGAATTTTTCATGATAAACTTTTTTTTTTTTATAAACTATAAAGGACTGTGTAAAATGAATGGAGTTGTTTTGAAAAGAGATCCATAAACTGATTAACACAAGGGTTTGAAGAAGAGAAAGAGACCACGACCTGTTGTGGAAATCAGGAGGAAATGGTATCTCCCGTTTAATAAGGACGTGATCTTGTACAAGATGTGGTGTCTGCATTGTGGAGCTAGGACCATGATCCCTGCCCTGACTATAAAGCAAGACTGATTACGAGAATAGAATTGGATTTTTTGTGTCTGCACTTGTGAGCTGTAGAGCACAATACAAATGCAAAGTGATGTTATTGTAGCCATTATTGGTGATGAGGATATTATTGATTTTGAAGAAACTGGGCAGGATTTAACTGGTAGAGCTGGCAGGGGAAGGCCTTACAGGTAGAGAAAAGTGGACTGGAGAAGTTTCTGCCAATTTTCTTGGGTGATTGAGAGTCCCTGTATAAAAGAGTTGTTTCTGAGCATCTATTGACACCTACACTGTCACTGGACCTGTTACAATGCTAGTAATATTGAGTAAGAAGTGCTATCTGCCTTCAGAGAGTTCACCTTGACTTGGTTTTGAGGATGGCTTCAAATATCAGATTAAAAAATGTATAGTTATTGTATAGGCAGTAGAGAGCCACTGAAGGTTTTAGAGCAGAGGAATGACATGGTTTGGGCCCTCCTGACAAAATACAATACTTAATTCAGCTTTCAACCAGTTTACCACCAGAAAATATTTTTGGCTGGCAGATGATTAAGCTCCTTAAGCCCCAGGCTTCAAGAACCTAAATGTTGTACCCCTCTAAATAGCACTTTTTAAAAAACTTGTGAATAATGGAACTGATTGTTTCCTTCTTTACAATGACTGTTAGAAAGCCTAAGCCAAATTTAGCCAAGTACATAGGACTTCGAAGCATGAATGTGAATCCCTGCTTCAGCCCTGGATAATTTTTCCCACATTCACTTTATTTTTAATCCTTCCCTTGCTTTTATAAAATGTTGTTAGCCGGGCGCAGTGGCTCAAGCCTGTAATCCCAGCACTTTGGGAGGCCGAGGCGGGTGGATCACGAGGTCAAGAGATCGAGACCATCCTGGTCAACACGGTGAAACCCCGTCTCTACTAAAAATACAAAAAATCAGTTGGGCCTGGTGGTGCGTGCCTGTAATCCCAGCTACTCAGGAGGCTGAGGCAGGAGAATTGCCTGAACCCAGGAGGCGGAGGTTGCGGTGAGCCGAGATCGCGCCATTGCACTCCAGCCTGGGTAACAAGAGCGAAACTCTGTCTCAAAAAAAAAAAAAAAAAAATGCCTGAACCCAGGAGGCGGAGGTTGCGGTGAGCCGAGATCGCGCCATTGCACTCCAGCCTGGGTAACAAGAGCGAAACTCTGTCTCAAAAAAAAATGTTGTTGAATTGTATGTAGTTTTGTAAACCAGGAAAAAGATTAATTATAAATAGAAAAATATTTCTTATTTTTTATTTCTTATTTAGTTAATTTTGGTGAAGATTATTTGAAATGTCCCCAGAGAAATTTGCATGGATGAGGTATATTGGAAAAGTAATGTTACAGATGTTACTTTCTGACATTACTGCTGATCTCCTAACTTTTAAAATTCTGTTAAAGTCATGTATAACATAACACTTAAATATCATGTGAACGTATCGGCAACAATATTTTTGCATTTAAAGCTTGAATTCTGTTTTCAAAAGAATTTAACAAAAGATATAAACTTAAAACTACCTAAATCTTTGTTTCCATGTATTTTAAAAATTCTAAGTTTAAATAAAGGAGCTACGATTTGTAGTCTATCAGAACATTAGAAGATAAAATCTGCTATCCTGATTTTAAAAATCATACATATCAAAATGCATTTGAAATGAAATGAAATCTGTTCTGTAACTAAAAGTTACTTATAATGCTTGGATTACATTGCTAGATCAGAAGAAAGGAAGGTATAGAAAAGTCTGTATGTATTTCTGTGTTCAATCTGCCTTATCATTTTAAACTTACATTTTTAATCATTTGAAAACAAGATAATCTTTAAGAATTTGGAAAGTATTAAGGACATTTTTCTCCATTAAAAAATTCCTCTTTAGAGACTGCTTTCAGGGCCAGTTTACAAGACCCACAGCTAAATTGTTTTTTTTTTTTTCTTTCAGTGTGTATGTATACCCTAATCTTTGCATTCCTCTTTCCCTCTACCCCATCATTCAATTGACTAGCTGATCAACGTTCATCTCTCTTTGTTTCTGATAGAACTGGCTGTTTCTGGAAAAGGTAAAAATCTATTCTTCAAAGGGCAATGACTTTCTACCTGTGGGAAAAAAAGTAAACTTCAGAAGAAAATTCTGAAAGAGGAATTTAGAGATGTTTCAAATAAAGGCAATATAGTTTCACTGGAACTGAAATGTTGCCTTCCAGTTCTACTACAGAAGCCAGAGTGGCACATGTGGCACCTGGTCAGGATGGACTCACTAAAGGATTTAACCCAGACTTCTGATGAACAAATATTGCTGCTATATTAACTGATTCACACAACAAAGTAATAAAATATCGTCCTGTTGATTTTATTATTTAAATACAGGCTCAATATTAAATGTGACAAACCAAGAAATAAATATGTCTGAAAAGTAAACAGTAAATGGCCAAATGGTATGGCTGAGGCATTTGTAGTGAACTCATGTTGCTTCCTGGAGATCACTGCATTCTTTTCTGTGCTCAGTAATCTACCTAAACTATGTCAGAGATTTGTCTGAGACTTACTTTCCTGTCTTTTCTGGCTCAGATTATTTCTTTATTTAGAAAATCAGAACATTTATTTGTTTTTAGGGCTCAAGCACCTCCTCTCATCTCTACAATGTCTCCGAATGTCTCAGAGGATTCCTAACAGTATCTGTATTTCTTGCACATTATTGTATAATTTATCTGTGTCTAGAGATCCGATGTCAGGCAAAGTAGTTAAGGTACTCTTTCTTCTTACTCATATATCTTGAGACACATTTCTCTGTCCTTGCGGTTTGTCTGACCCTTTTGAGTTCCTGTTATGCTTCCATTTGTACCAGAAGACAATGGAAATCAAGTGAAATTAAGTATAAAAGTCAGAACTAGAGAGCTTTTAGATCAAGTCCAGATAAAGAAATGAGAGAGATTTAATCTGCCTTCTTCCTTACTAAGACAAGTACATGGGGCTAGATCCAAGATAAAACTATGAAACAATTAAATCACTAACTCCCCTTGTTCTGTGTCTATGCTTATGTGCAGCAGACTTTTGATAGTAATTTGGATTTCTATGTAGATATGCCTATAGATAAAAAATATATACTTATCAGAAGATCTGAGACCCTAGTTATAAGTTAATAGATGAGCTTCCTAGTTTATACATCAGAGCTTGTTAGTGGATGTTTGTCTGAGAGAAGGAGGGGATCGGAGAGAGGGAGAGCTCATTCACTGTCACTATGCTGCTAAATCAGGTTCCTAAGGGATAGCCCCTGGAACATGGAGATCACACCAGGGTACTATCCCTTCAAGGCCTCTTTAGGCACCTGGCAACCCTTCTCCGTGGTGTACTTTGACTCCATCTTGTTGCTAGTTTTCCACAAATGCCTGCTTCGTGAGTCAGTCCACTTCTTGGTTCATAAGGCCAAGCATAAACACAGCCACTTCTCAAGAGGCTGTTACTGACCACAATAGGTTTTTTTCTTGTTTTTGTTTTGTTTTGTTGTTGTTTTGAGACAGAGTCTCGCTCTTTCGCCCAGATTGGAGTGCAGTGGCACGATCTTGGCTCACTGTAGCCTTCACCTCCTGGGTTCAGGCAATTCTCCTGCCTCAGCCTCCTGAGTACCTGGGATTACAGGCGCCCTCCACCATGTTGAGCTAATTTTTTTTCTTTTGTATTTTTAGTAGAGACAGAGTTTCACCATATTGATCTGGCTGGTTTTGAACTCTTGACCTCAAGTGATCTGACCCTGCTTGGCCTCCCAAAGTGCCAGAATTACAGGTGTGAGCCACGGTATCCCATTGGTCTTTTCTTCCTAGAGGCAAAATGCTGAATCCTTCCACCTGTTAACCCTGTAAATCTTGTGAAATACTCCTTGGAACAAAGACTGTTGTTTCTTCTTTAGATGTACGACATAAAAATCCATTTTTATAGCCATGCAGTGAAATATACGGCTATGTGGAAAGCTTCAGGAATAAAGAAAAATTACGATAGACTTCATTCAATACTTTTTAGGAATTCTTCAAATAATGATAACTAATTGAAGAATTTGATACATGTTCCAAGGCTGAATCCTGGGCCTTTACAGCAACCAGAAAACAGACTGAAAATGCCTAAAAGTTCTAACAACCACTTTAAAAAATGCTTCAAAATTATACTTATTGAAAAATACTATTTGGAACTATATCATGATGAAGGAATCATCAGAAAATAAAGTAGCTTGGCCATTCTGAGTTACTCTCCAACTAAAAACATCTGTTTAATGGACTTTGAAATGATTTTGTATTTGTGTTTAAAAAATATGCATTTCTATCCAGGTTGACAACTTAAATACCTGGCGCTAGCCAAACAAAATCTGAAGTGACTAAGGCATTGCTTCTTAAATAAGAGCAAGTTGGAACTGCCGTCTCAAATCACTACCATGTCTTCTGGCAAGACAAGATTAGCACACACACTCACATGTGATGAGGGAGTCATCTCAAGCTTGCAAACAGCCAGTTTGGATTACCCAGCAAGGGCAGGGTGAAACCAGCAAAGGGTTCCCAGGCCTCTGTTCTTTGGCCAGCCTATATAGAATGGAGAATTTTTTAGAGGTGATGTGTTCAACACTTGGATACATTTAAGAAGACAGCATGAGTCTAGTTTCTTTTGTCTCTAGGCCAGCTCAGAATAACCAGGCACATACCCTCACTGACCTCTAAAGGTAACACTGTTAAAGTGAGGGTCTTACTGGCTCTTGCTTGACATCTCTTTGTCTCTTTCTGCCACCCAACTTTGGTTCTGCTTCTGGCCCTTTGGGATTGGTGTTTGAACTTAGCCTCTGTTCTTTGGGTCCTGGATTTTCCTAACAGATTCCAGTTGGGTTATCATAGACAGTCTATGGCTGTCTATGAGCTAGGCTACCCTCATTCTTGCTCTTCTGAGGCTAACTTCCAGCATAGTCCACTTAGCTGGCTGCTGCTTCTCTGTGTCTGCAAGAGTATATATGAGTGTTTGGTGGAGAGGGGAATAGGATGTATGCTCAATTTGAATAATCACTCACTAAAATAAGAGAGAGAAAGAGAGAGAGAGAGAGAGAGAGAGAAATGGAGAATCTAACCATGGGGAGTAGGAAGTAATGCAATTGCTTCTCCATATTGACCATCCTTAGGTCTGAGGTAAATTCTTAATTAGGTATTTAGTTCTTTCCCAAGTATTTTTTCTCAGCCCTCAGATCCTGCTGCTACCTGGTGCTAAAATGTTCAAAGTAGTGATGACTAAATAGTTTGACAAACTCCAGAAAGTGTCACCTAGATTCAGAGACAGCACATACTAATTAGGAGGCTGAATATTTAACATAATAAATAAAAGATATAACATTTTAAAAATAACAATAGCTTAGCATAATAAAGTGTTATACCTATGAACTGATATATAAGATGTAATAATAGTAAATTACTGTGTAGTTCTGAGATATCACCATCTCTTAGAAGTATGGTCCATGTCAGGGTTGGGCGTGGTGGCTCACGCTTGTAATTCCAGCACTTTGGGAGGCTGAGATGGGCAGATCACCCGAGGTCAGGAGTTCAAGACCAGCCTGGCCAACATGGTGAAAACTGTCTCTACTTAAAAAAATGTAAAAAATTAGCTGGGCATGGTGTTGCATGCCTGTAGTCCCAGCTACTCAGGAGACTGAAGTAGGAGAATAACTTGAACCCAGGAGGCAGAGGTTGCAGTGAGCTGAGATCAAGCCACTGCACTCCAGCCTGGGCAACATAGTGAGACTCTGTCTCAAAAAAAGAAAGAGAGAGAGAGAGAAAGAGAGAGAGAGAGAAGGAGGGAGGGAGGGAGGGAAGGAAGGAAGAAAGAAGGAAGAAAGGAAGGAAGAAAGGAAGGAAGGACCATGTCTAATCCCCATTTGAGCTGTCACTTTCAAATATGACAGAATGCGTAGTGTTAATACACATTGACAACAAATAATTTCTCTCAGTTAATGGCCTCCCTAACTGAAAAAAGTTTTCTGCCAGCTTCTAAGTTAAGATTGGTTAATTTTGCCCAAGGTTTATTTATATTTCACATAAATTATTTTTTTTCTTTTGTGGCTTTATCGATCTGCCATTTCTCTCCATTCTTCATTCTACCAGCATTGCTCCTCCAAGCAGGGTCTGCTTCCATTGCTTTTGGTTTTTCCAAAATTGTTTTGTTTCTATTCTTTAACTCTCTGTTTTGTGAGATTTTAATATTCCTGGTGATTACATACTGTCCAGCCAACCTTTCCCAATGGAACTTTTACAGAAGTGCCGCCCTGTTGGACTCCCAATACCTTACTCATTTGGCTTTTGAGTCCCAGCTGTCGAGGGACATAAGAAGAATTTCCCAAGGTTCAAGCAAGAGAGAAATTCAATAGGACCATTCATCTAAGACAGATTATATTTTTCAGAGATGATCAAAAGAATAATTCCCACTCCACATGCCTTTTTTTTTTTTTTAAACAATATGACTTCTGTTCTCTTTTCATAAAGAAGCGGAATCTAAATTCTCTTCCCTAGAATCTTGGTGGGCTTGTGACTTTGGAAGAAATTATGCTGTGTGACTTCACTTAGATGTGACTTAGGTAGGTTGATAAAAAGTGATAAAGTTTCACTGCTATCAAGCTGTGAGGAAGACCAAACTAGCTCATACAGAGATACTACATGGAGAGGCCACTGTATTTTTTTCCAGCTGACAGCTTAACTGAAGTCCCTGCCACAGCCAGCATAAACTGCAAAGATACCTCCAGATGACTGCAACCCCAGCCATCAAGTCATTCCCAGTCTTCAAGCCTTCCCAGCTGAGGCCCAGACATCAGAGAAGGTAAACAAGCCACCTCTCCTGTGCTTTGTCCACATTCGTGATCTATAGAAACCATGAGGACAATAAGATTGTTGTTTTATGCCACTAAGTTTTAGAGTGGTTTCTTACATAGCAAGAACAATAGAAATGGTATTCTATTTAGTTCCTCACAAATTCTGAGCAAGTATCCCAAGATAGGTACAGAGCCCAACTTTCTTCTAGTTCATATATAAGTTTCTTGTCATCCTGAGGAATCTTCCTGAATCAGAGCTTAAGCAGCATTCATCTATTCTGATTTTGAGAATCTTATTTCTGGCATCCCAGAAGCCCCATTGCTAATTTGGGACTTGGCATCCTAGTATTTCTGTCTCATTCATTTCTGGCCCGTTTCTTACATTATCCATAGTTTCTCATTCCATCAACTTCCCCTGGGATTCACATTTTCTTGGGATGAGTGGTGGTGGGAATTTCACTTCCTCTAAAGAGACTCCAACCTATGCATACCTCTGGTTTTGACAAGACAGTTATATCATTGATACCCAGTATCATCAT